ACCTTCAGCTTGAGGATGGCCCACAGGTGCACAGGTGAGTTTAGGGCTGGATACATACTTGGCCAGTCCATCACCTTCACCTTCAGCTTCCTCAGCAAGGCAGCTGTAATCTACTAGGTGTGTTTTGGGTCATTATCCAAAAATGGGAGGGGTGTACTCATTTATGTGAGATACTATATATGCAGTTATAGACCTCCGAACTTATCTAAGCACTTTTAATGGCATAAGGGGGTATATTTCATTTCCTTTCGATATTAAGATTATTTAGAGAAGTGTTTGAAGCATTTTTGGGATTGTTTAATTGATTTTTTTTTTTTTTTTTAAATTAACCCCCCTGAGGGGAAATTCAATTTTTCACTCCATTGTCATTAACACACAGGTCTGAAATACACACACATGCACAAACAGGACCTATAAATGCACAAAGTGGAGAGATGTCAGAGTGAGGGGGCTGCCTTGGTCAGGCGCCCCAAGCGGTTGCGGGGTTCGGTGCCTTGCTCAAGGGCACCTCGGCAGTGCCCAGGAGGTGAACTGGCACCTCTCCAGCCACCAGTCCATGCTCCGTATTTGGTCCAGACAGGGACTTGAACCAGTGACCCTCCGGTTCCCAACCCAAGTCCCTATGGACTAAGCTACTGAAGTGACTGTGCGCGATGCAACTGCAGCGCTGCAGTTGACCTGATATCGCAACAATTGTAGGCGGTTGGACGGCGAATGGGATCAGTAAAATATGATGAGTGATGAGTGTAGTGGAGAGGGAGGGGCACAACGCTGCTGAGTTCAAGTGTTGCCGTTTAAATGGGTTAAACACAAACACACACCTCTCTTATTGGCAGGTTAAAAAAAAGCCCGAGCCCGGCCCGTGTCCGAGGTAATGATGGGGTAATTGGCCCGAAGCCCAGCCCTCGGGGTGTCGGGCTGTTGGGCCCCCTCGGGCCTCGGGCTCCAGTGCAGGGCTCTAATATGAGCTACCTATCAAAAGAATAAGAGAATTAGAGATCTGCACGGCACCTAGCAAAACTCAATACTCCATAGACAAAATGAGGTGTCTTATGCATGGAACATACTCATTTAAATTTGAGTGGCATATCTGACCTGCGTTTTTTTTTTCTCTGTTGTGATCTCTGGCCACTCTTTATGTTGTTACAGTAATGTACTACTGTGTAAGACCCACTTTTTTTTCCATGTTCCCACATTGTTTAACCTATCTCACAAATGAGTAGTAGCACGGGAGCTTGGCTCAACCCCCAGAATACAGTCAAGTTGTGTCATGGACTCCATCAAATGACAAAGCAGCCTAATGACTGCCAAACCATGAGGTAAGTTGGCTTTCTATATTTGATACCAGAGGTGGGCCGGAGCAGGCAGGTGATGGTGGGGAGCCCACGGTGGTGGTAGGATCATCTGAAGCAAGTGAGGTTGCCAAAGAGGAAGGTGGTGAACTGTCTGGACAAGTGGACTCATCAATGGAAGACTGTTCACAAACCCATGAGGCAGTGCAGACATCATCCTGCTCATCAACACTTGAGAGGGAACCAGCAAGGGATGGGACAACTGTTACAGCTGCAGTGTCCATTCCAGACATCTCAATTTCATGCCAATCAGATGGAGGAGGGCCACTAGTCAAACTAGGAGCAGGCATGGTTTCATCCAGTGGCAAGAAGTTGACTTGAAGCAGCAGATGGTGATGAACAACACACTCATTGCCGTGCGGATCATTGATCTGGTAGATATGTAAGGTGAGTTTTGCAGCCACTACGGTGTAGACAGTGGACTGCCATTTGGTCATAGGATGGTAAGGTGAGTTCTGTGACTTGTCAACCCCTGACAGTATCAACAGCTCAGCAATCAGTTCACTTTCAAAGTTTGCCCTCTGGTCGGAGTGCAGGTGCTGAGGGATGCCATAGATGCAAAAAAAGTTGTCCCACAGCCTTTTGGCTACCCTTTTGGGAGTCTGGCCCTGACAGGGAAAAGCGTGTGCCAGTCTGGTAAAAGGATCAGTGTTAATCAGAACATCCACACACTTGTTATTACTGTCCTCAGCTGACCAAAAGTCAACACACATGAGTTTCAGAGGAGCAGAGGTCGTAATGTTCTCCATTGGGGCTCTGGTGCCCCGCTCACATGCATCAAGCTTTGGCTTGGTCAAAATGTACGTGAGAAGATTATTTTCCAACCAGATATAACCAGATAAGTTCAGTCACTGTCCCTTGAGCCAGAGACTGAACTTATCACAAACCACCCACTTGAGGGCCAGGATCTCAAGCCTGTGAGCAGGATAGTTGGCTTGACTGCAAGTGAGAGATTTGCTCGCAAAAGCTATGGGTCTTGCTCTCTCCTCACCATCAGGCATCTGGGACAACACAGCACCCAGACCATCAAGGGAAGCAGCGGTGGAGAGGATGAAAGGCCTATCAAAGTCCGGGTGTGCCAGCACCTCAAATGCTTTTTCACATGGCGGAGTCCAATCCTGAGGAGTGACTTCCCAGAAGGTACCAGCTTGCTGTCTACCAGAGGAACCTTCAGCTCTCTTCTTCTGCCCTGCAGTCAAAGTGTAGCGTGGCTTTGCAATGGAAGAGCAACCAGGGATGAAGTGCTGGTAATACCGCACTTTCCCAAGGAAAGACTTGACTTTCTGCTGAGATGGAGTGCAGTCATCATTGTTCATGAGGTCCTTCGTCCCGAAAGCTGAGATGACCTTTACCTTCTCTTAGTGACTGAGACACCACTGCTGTCTAACACATGGCCAAGAAATCTCACAGACCTGAGAAGGAAGTGGCATTTCTTCTGCGCGAGCTTCAAATTGTTGGCTCTGAGGTGTAAGTAGGCCATATCCAGGCATTTCAGGACCTCCTCCTCAGAGGGAGCAAAGACCAGTAGATCATTTAGATCTCAGAGGCGACTGGAGAAGTTTACGTTGCCAAAGACGCTGATCATCATCTGCATAAAGGATGCAGGGCTGTTGCACAGGCCCTGGGGAAGTCTATTGTACTCATCCAGTACTGCACTACAGTACTGCACTTACTGTGCAGTACTCTGCTAAGCATCTTTTCCTACTCCTTGTTGTCTGTGGTGTTCTCATTCGCCTCCTGATCCCAAAGACTCAGTGCAGCTATCACGTCCTGTGCTTTGTCTCCCATCGTGTAAATTAGTATTTACTTGGTTTTAGTTTTACTTCAGCTGTAGTTACAGCCCCTGATGCTAAGAAGCAAATCTCCTATGACCATTCCTCTGGCTTTGTGAAGTCAAACTTTGGCGGCGGAGTAACTTGGAACCGCTCCATGTTAATGGATGGGGAAAGCCCATAAAATATGAGTTTGGCTTCGCGCTTCATGAGTTCCTCCGACACTGACACAACAGTTTTTCCCTGACCAATCATGAGCAAGTGACACATCCACCCAGATGACATCATTTTCAGTTGCCATACGTGTGGAAACCACAATAAACACAAAATATGTTGATTTAAGAGCTCTTCTTTCTGAAAGTCAATTTACAAAAATGTGTACAGTCATGTCCATGTTATCCAAACAAACTCTGTGTGGGAGGAGGATATTAATAAAATACATTTGCTGTTATCACCTGTAAGTACACTGTCAACAAATGAACATGACTGAAATGGTTAGAATTGTCATTATCCATTTACTCAATCTATTGTTATTCTGTGTATTACTGTATGTGCCATTAGTAATATGGGATTTGCCTTCCTTGAAATACTGAAATTAAACTGTAAGTCAGTTCACATCTTTGAAGCTTTATCTCAGGGTATTTGTTGAAATGGTAGCACATTTGGGCCTTGTGATTCCATAAACTAATGGTAAAAAGGTAGCAGTAAATTAGATGTCACCCATGCAGCTGGGCCCAATCAGTAATAAATTAGTCATAACTTTGTTTTGAATCCACAGCCGGTCATATAATATCTTACAGAAATGCACATACAATGGTTCGTATGACATCTAACCAATTAGCACCCCACAATGGATTTCATGCTCTTAACCCAAGGTTACATACTTACCGTAACATTATGTATTTTAGGTTTAGACAAGTAAAGTTATTTTGGGTAGGTTAGGAACAAAAACATGATGATGACATACCTTAAATAGAAATAACTCAGAGTTTACTTGGTTTCATACGGCTTCAAACACCAGTCTCTTGGGGGAAACTTCTGTATTTTGTGACCCATTTACCATCCCAACCTGCCTCCTTACCCAGACTACTTCATACTTTACACCTGTCAGCACATTGCTCATGAGATCAGGGCCTTGCTGATTATATAGGTTATACACAAATTACTGGCTTATGATTATGTGGGTTATATATGAACTGTGGTGCATTACTTTTAGTAGGAATAGGTATGAATGGTATATGAGAACAGCCTTCACATAAATTTGGTAAAAATACAAATCAGAGAATGAGGCACTGCATTGTCTTTCACTGGTTGCATGATACATGACAAATTAAGATACTAAATTTGAAACAAGGAGCCAAAATACTCATGATAGATTCTTTATTATTTATTCTTTTTTAAAATCTCAAGTTTATTAGGATCACCATAAACTTTAGATGTTAAAAAAGTGACGCCACATTAACAGGCAGCAACAAAAAGATCTATTGCTTTCACTGGTACAGTGTGTTCTAGCAGGACAAGCCGACGGTGGAGTCCTATCACTTTACACTGATTCATGCTCCCATGGACCTAAAGGACTGCAGCAGCATGGAGAGAAGGTGTATGATTGCACGTCTGTGAGAGAAAGAAATAGACTCATCTATTCTTAATGACACTTGCTTTAGAGAAGAGGAGAGAGGCATGAAATACATTTTGATGATGGAAACAAAGCACATGCATTCTTACAAAAAGCTGAGTAAGGATAGTTTAATAGTCCTTTGTTCATATCTTCATATTACAAAGGAATAATTATTGTTTATAATGACATCACATTAGAGTTCATCTAACTATATTTGGAAAGGATTTGAGCATTTTGCTGCTCCTATGTGGCACCTACCTCTTGTGGGCCAGTAGAAGTTCTTTGTGAAGCTCGTTGTGAGTCCTGGAAGCCTTAATGGGATTTGACTGACCTGAAGAGCCTTCAACTTTGACTACATTATCTGACAGAGAAATCACATCAAAAAGCATGTCAGTACAGCATTGAATCCCCCAACATCTCAGAAATAGCTACTACCCACCTAAATAAAGATCTTGCCCAGTCCATAACCTAATCCCATATACATTTATTATTACTACACAGGTTTAAATATATGAACTGATGGAACTGATGACTGCATTTCACTAGAATCATATTTTATGATTTCAAATGACAAATAAATTGATTGATGATTGGTTTCAATCAGATGTAAAGCAGGGGAATATAAAAAGACTTTGTCAAGCTGCTTGTGAATATGGTACACTAAATGTCAGACAAATTTTAACAAAATACCAGTAACATTTAAGAGTTACCAGTAACATTTAAAAGCTTTGTAAACAAAGTGACCAATTACGGAATTGGTACTAATGGTATTAGTAATGGTATGGTATGGCAATGGTATAATTTCTAAATGATAAGTAAGACAATATTATTAGGAAGGTAATGAGTGATCCACAGTTGAGTAATTTGTAACGAAAGTTTGTGACTGTTTGAAGAGTTACATGCTAGAACTATTTCTTGGAAAACAGCCAGTCAAAGTGTGCAGCTGTCTTTTTCGTTGTTACAGTGTGGCTGCAAAGTTTGTTAATGTTATGCATATACGGACCTGATCCTGTGCTTACCAACTGTAACTGGCATTGTGCACTTTCCAGAGATGCTGCACAGAAGTAATGGGCAGATTGATACATTGTTGTGTGTGAAGAGATTAGGGCTGTCAAAATTGCTCAAAAATGATGTTCGAATATTCCTTCTAAAAATAACTCATAGGTTCGAACCATTCGAATTTTTTTTTTTCGCATTATGTCCACAAGAGGGCAAACCAATACAAGGAAACATACTTGTAAATGTATTAATACAAGGAAACATAGCTACTTGTAGGTATTTTTATTTCAACATAAACGTCATTGAAAACATTTACATACCTACACATTAAAACACATAAAACAATTATCTATAACATTACGTTAGAAATGACCGCGGACCTCTCGCTCGCCCCACCCTCTCTGACCCGTGGCCACACCGCCCGCGGAAGTGCTGCGAATAGCCTCGAAGCGAAGCCAGTTTCCTTCTGGCGCCCATGTTAACCGATTGTGTCATCCACACCAGCTGTGCCGAGTAGCGCAGCTCCGTTTCGGCGCTGCGAGCAAATGTATCAAGCCGGGGGGTGACGGAGGCAACAACTGGGAGCAGAACCGCTTGTCGACCAGCAGCACTTTCGCGGGTGGTGTGGCCCTGGCGTTTATGCAGTACATTCAGTGCAGCGGCCCAGGCCAACGCCCACTCGCAAAGAGGACAGCTGCGGTGGTGTTTTTTTTTTTTCTCCACAATCGAATATCAGTTTTCACATTCGAAGGTCCATTTTTTTTTCAAATTCGAATTTAAATTCAAATTTAGAATATTCGTTGACAGCCCTGGAGGAGATAGATCCACCATGTAACGAGGGAGTTACATGGGAGTTATGTCACTAGTCACTTCAGGGAGCCGTCTCATTCCACCACAGAAGACTGTCTCATACAAGTTGCACTGACCTCTTCTATGATTGTGGCTCTGTGGATGAGTATTGTTTTTCATGCTGCTTCTGGAAGCCAGCTGGATCTCCATATGTATAATATTGTTGTTTTTATGAAATGAACCATTAAGGGACATGGTGGCCTGTGGTTGAAATTTAGTCAGTGGGAGTAAGAAGCTTGGCCCAGTGATAGGATGGTTTGGCCAATATGGGAGACCAAAGGAAGGTGCAGCAGAGGTGGTTCTCAGTGCATGAAAAGGCTTGATGGAGGGCAGCACCCGAGGACATGGCATGGAGCCTAAGCTTGTCCTGCATGGTGGGTAGCTGCTGGAGGGAGAGGGAGAAAAGGCTAGTAAAAAAGAGTCTGCATCATGAGACGGGAGATTGAAATCAGAAAGGAGACAGAGACATAGTAGTGTGGAAACAGATAGCTTAAGTACTTAAGTAGAGATGCATCATTTATACTGTCAGTGAGCAGGTGCATATGTAAATGACTCATCACAGAGCAGATGAACAATGGCACAGTGACAGTGATTCAGTTTAAAAACTAACATCAAGCATCATCATAAATTAGCAACCAGCACTGAAGTTGCTCTCTTTTTTTTACTTAAAATAGTGAATTACATTAAAATTCTAACTGCTGACATTTTTTCCAGAGTGTATTATAAATGCTTAGTGCATAAAAAACTAAATTTAATGTTACAAAATATTGAATTCTAAAAATGCAGGCACTATGCATTTCCCATTACACATTACATTCTGATCATTAGGTTATCATGTGTCCTAAGTGGTTGATAAAATTTAAAGAGGTCACACCAGAGGTGCCGAATATGACAATTAGAGGCAACTTTAGCTGCACATAGCTCTACATCCGTAAGATAATGCTGTAGAATCTAAAAAAAAAAAATGTATACAGGGTTCAGTCCTACCTGTGCTGTAGTGAGCCTTCATGAGAGGTTGCTGTCTGAGAACATTGGCCATCGTGTGGGGCTGACAGACATTGATACTATTGAGAGCAGTGTTACTTGAGAGCCCTGAATATGGCACTGTGCTGTCCAGCCCCTTGTCTTCACAGTCAACAGGAAGCAGTGGCGTAGCATGGGGGGGGGCGGGGGGGTGTCCAGATGTGGGGAGGGGCCCATGAAAATTGTGCTTGATAATCACACCAATCATCAATCATTATCACACCAAATCAAATAGGGCCTTAACAACTAGCATGTAATAAACAGGCTAGGACACTGAGCTGAGCTGAGGCGCGCGCACACACACACACACACACACACACACACACACACACAGCTGTTCTGTAACCCAAGTGGTTTGGCCTGCTTCGCCCACCATTTTCATTTTGACGTAGCCTAAAGTGCTCTCCTTGTCCTGATGGTCCTAATTAGCCTTTTCAGAGAAGGTATTCAGGTTTCCAAAAGACAAAAAAGATAGAGAAAAGAAACTGAAGAAAGATGGTGAGGGTAAATAAATCCTCACTAAGTTTTTACACAAGAAAGGTAAGCCTAAGCTAGACTGAGCTGGAACAGGCAGTAATTCTGTCCAGTTTATTGCCTGATGTCAGTTATCCCTATCTGAGAAAATATTAGATAAACTTGAAAAAGATAAATTTGAAATTTGTTTAACAATTTCAAAGTGCTCAGCATGTAGTCTTAACATAGCTTGTAGGTAAATCAGCTAAGAGTAGAAAAGTATGAAGCTCAATTTCAGAAACAGCAACATGGAGCAGAACAGCAGGCACTCCTGACAGACCTGATATACAAAAAGGGAAGCTGGGTTAACAATTCTCCCAAGCTGTGACAGATGTCATTTCAATGTATTTTCATAAATCAATGCTATTGATCATCCTTTACATCTGTATGCAGGTTTTACATATATTTAACCAGTTTAAGTGTTAAAAAGAGCTTGTGACTAAATCTCGTAACTCCATTGCATCCTCAAACAGTCGGCAAAACCTCATAGCTTACAGTACTACTGAAGTGCTGTACTAAAGCATCTTTGGTAAAAGGTAAACAGTGGAGTGTGTGTGTGTGTGTGTGTGTGTGTGTGTGTGTGGGGGGGGGGGGGGGGGGGGGGGGGGGGGGGGGAGGAGGCAGGAGCATCAAGGGGGTTTTGGTTTTGGTTTTTTGGCTTCTGTCATTGGGATCCAACTGTGTGTGAATGATTTGGCCTCTCCTTTGTAGGAGGATTGTCTGCGACAATCCGAAACAGAAAGGACCTGCTAACCAAATGGCTGGGAGCTGAAGCCGTGCACGTCCTCAATCCCGCAGCAGGTGTTGCCATGGTTTGGCAAAGTCTCGAAGAGTGTTATGAGACACCTGAGGTCATTGAAGACGCACTGCTCAAAAAGATTGAACACTTTCCAAGGCTGACCGATAAAGTGTGCTAAACAAGATGGTGCTCTACCAGTTTAGTTTAGTTTAGTTTATTAGTTTATAGTATCGTGGACAATCCCAATTAATTGACTGTAGAAATAACAGTAGAAAGGGCAGCTTTAGCCAACATAGAGTGGCCTTTCCTCCCTTTTCTGTCTTCTCTAAGTTTGTCCAACAACAGGCAAAGATAAGAAACGATCCGAGCTTTACTATATCCCCCTCCAGCAGTCATGCCTCTTCCAGGACCGAAAAGCCTGTAAAGTACAGCAATTAAAGCGCTGTGGCTGTACACAAAACTGACATCCCTGCAGAGCCATCAAGCATTCAAACCAGCCCTGCTCCAAGGAAAATGGAGGAACCAGATCGTCAGTGTCCGATTCATAAAAAGCCCCACCCGCTGAAAAAATGCAAGCTCTTTAGAGACAAAACTTTAGAAGAGCGCAAAGCATATCTCAGAGAGAATCGCATCTGTTATAGATGTTGTGGGTCTACTCAACACATGGCAAAAGATTGTAAGTTGACTGTCAAGTGTCTTGAGTGCAACAGTGACAAACACATTGCGGCACTGCACCTGGTCCTCCGCTCGTGACCACACAGAGTGCTGTGGCTGACAAAGATGACAGCGCGGAGCAAAGTGAAAGGCCATCCTCTTCTTCAGTTACCTCCAAGTGTACGGAGGTTTGTGGAAACACAGATGGTTTCCCACTCCCTGTTGGAAGTTCTTTTGCGGGTTCTTTACAGAACCGCAAAAGAAGAGCTTTCACAAGCCAAAGCTGTGATCATCCGTTCTGTGCAGCATGAAGCCTTCAAGGAGGAATTTAAATGTCTTGAACAAAGACAGACATTCCCCAAACAAAACATGCTCAAAAAGCTCAATCCGATTGTGGATAAAGATGGTCTGCTTCATGTTGGAGGTTGTCTCTCTAATGCCGACCTGTCAAAAGAAGAAAAGCAGCCACTGATCATTCCACATACCCATCACATTGCCACACTACTCATGAGACACTTTCATGAACAAGTAGCTCACCAAGGGCGGCATATTACAGAAGGAGCTATCCGACCTGCTGGATACTGGATAACTGGGGACAAGCGTCTAGTGTCTTCTGTCATCCACAAGTGTGTTACCTGCCGCAAACTGCGAGGGAGGTTGGAGGACCAGAAAATGGCAGAGCTACCTGCTGACAGACTCAGTCCTGAGCCTCCATTCACCACTGTTGGCCTTGACGTCTTTGGACCGTGGTCCATCATGACACGTCGGACAAGAGGAGGATATGCAGACAGCAAATGCTGGGCCGTGCTGTTTACGTGCATGTCAACTAGAGCAGTGCATATTGAGCTAATTGAAACCATGTCAACAGACAGTTTTATCAATGCCCTTAGGAGGTTTTTCTCGATTCGCGGTCCTGCCAAACTTCTATGGTCCGACAAAGGGACTCAAAGGGAGCTTGTAAGGAGTTGAATATAAGCACAGACGACACAACAGCCAGGAAGTACCTCCAGGAGAAAGGCTGCTTCTGGGTTTTTAATCCCCCTCATGCTTCCCACATGGGTGGCTTCTGGGAGAGGCTCATCTGAGTTGCCAGGCGCATTCTGGACGCAATGCTGCTTCAGACAGGACCGACATGTCTCACACATGAAATCCTGAGCACTTTCATGGCAGAGGTGATGGCGATCATGAATGCAAGGCCTCTTGTGTCCATATCCACTGACCCAGTTATGCCTACAGTGCTCACCCCAGCCATGCTCCTTACTCAGAAGTTGAGTGCAGTTTCAGCCCCCTCTGGAAACTTTGACACGGCTCAGTTGTACGAAAAACAGTGGAAGCAAGTCCAGTGTCTTCCTGATATGTTCTGGAAGAGATGGAGGGCAGAGTATCCCTCTACTCTACAGAGCCACAGGAAGTGGATAGAAGACAAGCCAAATGTCAAAGAAGGAGATGTTGTCTTACTGAAAGACAGCCAGGCCCACAGAAATGAATTGCTCATGTGACTAGTTGTTAACCCTTTGGGCCCTAGCCATTTTTGGGGTATTTTTACTGCCTTTACTTTTAAGCTCATATCACAGTCATTATAAAGGCTACATACACATGCTATATCTTGTTTTTTTTTCAGGACAATCTGGGCTAACCAGATATGCCATCATTTCATGTCCTTCTATGTGCCTGTATTTTATATTGATTTTTATATCAATGAAAAAAACAAATCCGTGTGACTAAATTCTTACATTTTTACATGTATCTCACCATAGCAAGTTGGAAGAAGACATATTCTGCCATATATGAAGAGGGGAGACTCTCTGGAATCTGGCAATATAAGAACCATGATGGTGGGACATTCTGTCACTTCACAGCTGTCCAAAACATGTGGTTTGTGCCAGGCGGACATGATTGCCTGTATTTTTTCATTATTGCAAGAAATTCCATTGACTCATTCACAAGTAAAAAATGTGTTTTATCTGAAAGAAACATGCTGTATTTACATCTAAGATCATAGAAAAATAGTCAACCAAGTGCAGTGATGTCCTCCAATATAATATTTGCCACTTTGTTTGCAGTAAACAAAGTTTGTTGTTGTTTTTCAGTTTCAGTTATATACTGGGGGAACATTTTGGGCATTGGTGGGGGGGCGCATGTCCCCCTCAATGTATATGGTGACTACGGCCCTGTCAGAATGCATAATAAAGCTGCAGTTGTCTGGGTGCGCAAAGGTGAAGTGCGCTGGTCTTGTCATACAAAGTTTGATGGAGTGTCAACTGGACAATATGGAGATATTTGCATCTTGAAAGCCTGACTACAAATGTGGATAGACAGGGAGAAACACACGCAAGCCTAAGACGTGGTAAGATATGATATTCCTCACTATATGAAGTGACTGATAACAAGATCTGTATAATGGGTTGTAAAGAAATTCGTCAGGTTTTTATTTTATAGACACTCAATCTGTATTTACAGCGTGATGGGATGACAGTACAATAATGTATGTGGTATCCCTGGAAAGCTCTGCTCCTGCACTTTCATGTGATATGCGTGGCATGTCTGTGCGAGCCTGCGTTCGCGAGTAATCCATCCAACAGTAATGTGTGTGTAGAGCTGTATGAAAGCTCTGTTATACATCATTTTAATGTAACTTTATATTTTTTTTTCGTTGTGAAAATATTGGACTACCGACAAGTGCTTGGCCTTCTCGAAAAGCTACAGTTCCGCTGTTTCACGTGATATGCGTGGCTTCTCGCTATGACGCAAGGTCGCGGAGAAAATCCACAGAGAAGAACGGGATGTGAATTTGAACGCACTATGCGTCGTTTGGGCCCATAGGGTTAAAGATTGTGAGACACACAGACAGAGCTGTGTGGCCATGTCTGTGTGTGCAGCCGTTGTCATGGCGATTAATGACTTGCCTGCACTTGAGGGGCACACAAAGCAGATCAGCACAGGCTGTTTATAATGGGTTTTAACTCCTCGAACAAATTCTTGCCATACCCAAACGGTTGGCCCAAGCAAGAAAATAAAGTCATTGTGAGAGACAGCCACTTCTCGTGAACGCACGTGTCATGTTTTATATTTCTCGAGTCAACAATGTGGTCAGGGGAGTGAGTTTAAAATGTGTTGCA